AGAAGCTTGATGACAGAGGAGAAAAATGTATTTTCATTGGCTATGATGAAAGAAGCAAAGCTTACAGATTATATAATCCTCTTACCAAGAAGGTAATAATTTCAAGAGATGTCGAGTTTGATGAAGTAGAATATTGGAGGTGGAGCAAAGAAGAAAAGAAAGTTAAAGGACTATTTTTAATGAAGATAAAGATGACGATCTTATCAATCAAGATGAACAAGCTGATAATCAAAGTCCTCAACAAAATGTACCATCGTCGTCAAGAAGCAGCAACGATGCTAGTAACATAATAGAAAATTCTGAAGCACCTCCCACAGAAGTTCGAAGATCCACAAGAGAAAAAAGAACACCAGAAAGATACAACGATTATGAATTAAATAATGTTTCAATATTCAGTCTCTTTGCAAAGAGTGATCTCATAACAAATGAAGAATCGATTGGAGAAGACAAGTGGAGAAAAATATTGGAATGGAAAATCAAGTTTGAGGGGGAGTGTTAGAAATCAAACTTGATTTCAAGTTGAAATTGTCAAAGTTGGCAAAAGGTGGCAAAAACTAGAAGCTTCTTGATTAATGAAGCATGATCTTGAATTACTTAAGAACTAAGCATGGAAAATAAACATTTGACAATTGATTATGGAAGGGAATTTCATTAAGACAAGGAACTCCATGTAGCAATACAAGAAGAATTTGGAAATGCCTTGATCTTTCATTAAGGAGGTTAATTACCCTTATAAATATGTCTTTAGCATTAATATATGTAATACAAGTGAAAAGAAAAAGAAAATGAGATGAAATATGAGTGAAAGCTTAGAAAAGATAGAGAGAATTTGAGAGAGCTTAGTAAAACTTAGAATAGCGAGGTTGTGTTTGTAAATTAGCCGCATCTAGTATTGTAGTGTTGTAATGTTGTAATATTGTAATATTGGGGTAACGTCGTTGTAACGTATTTTGCCTCGTATTAATAATAGTGCGAGTGTTATAAAATATCAAGAGCCCACCTACGCTTCCAACATTAATGATATTATTTTGTTATAGGAAATGTGTGGTTATAACTAATTATTATTTCTTTTCTGTATAATAAATCAATAAATACAAAACACAGCTGGCTTATGATGTTCATTGAGAATCCAAGGAAATCCAACTGTGTACGCAGTTGGAGTTGTGCAGAAATATAAACATGTTCTTTGTGACTTTTATGTATTTGTTGGGGCTTTAAGCTTTTTGGCAATTTGATTTTTGAGTCATGAAACTCACTTCTCACGAATTGGACAAACAGAAGGATTACTATCATCTGCTTCCTAATTCTGATTCCAAAAATGTCGGCCGCCATGGGACGCGTGGTTTCAACAAATATGTTCTTGCAGCCGCCATTCTTGCCTCCACAAACTCGGTTCTTCTCGGCTATGGTGAGAGACTAACTGACTCACTGTGTTTTATATCAGTGTTTCATTCGAAACCAAAACGCTGATCTTACCCAAGTTTTTGTTTGGTTACAGATATTGGCGTGATGAGTGGGCCGGTGTTATATATCAAGGATGATCTCAAGATCAATTCGACCCAACAGGAGATCTTGGTTGGTTGTTTGAACCTATGTTCCCTTATCGGTTCTCTAGCCGCCGGAAAAACTTCTGACAGTAACGGCCGGCGGTATACTATAGTCTTGGCAGCGGCTACGTTCTTTGCAGGGGCTGTTTTAATGGGACTGGCGCCGTCTTTCCCTTTCCTCATGGCGGGGAGAGTTCTGGCTGGGATTGGTGTTGGCTATTCTCTTATGATAGGTCCGCTATACACGGCGGAGATCTCCCCGGCGATGACTCGCGGCTTCCTCTCTTCGTTACCGGAAGTCTTCATCAATATGGGGATTCTATTAGGCTATGTTTCCAACTTCACATTGTCGGGTCTGCGGCGGCCGTTGAATTGGAGACTAATGCTAGGACTAGTAAGCATTGCCAGCCGGTGCTGTCGCATTAGTTGTCATCGTGATGCCCGAGTCCCCTCGTTGGCTCGTTATGAAAGGCCGGTTCGTCAATGGAAGGCAGGTTTTGATCGAAACATAGGATTCCAAAGCGGAAGCCGATGCGAGACTCATCGAAATGGCGAATGCTGCTGAAACATGGGAACAAGAACCACACTTGAGTAGCTTCCAATGGAAAGGCCAAGGGGTATGGAAAGAATTGTTAAGGCCAACTAGGCCAATTCGAGGAATCATCATCGCCGCCATCGGAATCAACTTCTTCATGCAAGCATCCGGGAACGATGCGATCGTGTATTACAGCCCTCAAGTGTTCAAAGATGCTGGCATCCACGACCGGAAACGACAATTCGGCGTTACCATCATCATGGGAATCGTCAAAACATGTTTCGTTTTCGTATCGGCTCTTTTCTTGGACCATTACGGGAGGCGTCCCCTGTTGTTGTTAGGCACAACCGGGATGGCTATCTCATTGGCTTGTTTAGGCCTTGGGTCGTTATACCTTCAGCAATGCAATGACTAGCCCGTATGGGCCATTGTTCTGTGTGTTGTTGCCGTATATGCCGATTTCTCATTCTTTTCGATTGGGCTCGGACCGATCACGTGGGTGTATTCATCGGAAATATTTCCAATGAGATTACGAGCCCAAGGTTCGAGCTTGGTGATATCCGTTAATAGGATAGTTAGTGGGATTGTGTCTATGACATTTTTAAGTATTTCGGAGAAGATTACATTCGGGGGAATGTTCCTTGTACTGTCAGGAATCATGGTTGTTGCTACTGTTTTCTTTTACTTGTTTTTGCCCGAAACTAAAGGCAAGAGCTTGGAGGAGATTGAAGCTATTTTTGAGGATAAATATGCTGAATCATGACAATAAAACAAATCCAACTTCTGTTGCTTTGCCATCTATATAATATATATAGTCTATTTAAATAAAATATGATGATTAGATTGAAAAAATATGGAAACTAAATTTAAAAGATTTTTTTTATTTTTTTTAAATTGATTTTGTGATAAATTTGATTATATTATTCAACTTTTGTTAGTGGATTCAATTAAAAAATAATGATCTAATTAAAATTTTTGTGTAAAATATTTTAAAAGGTCAACCAGATACACATCCATTTAATAATTTTATCATCTTATTATTTTAACTTCTTCTATTTTAATTATTGGGCGGTTAGCTCATTTTAAAATACACGTATCTAAAACCCTATTTATTATTTTCTTTCCCATATTTTTAAACTTATTTTAATACTTTTATAATTATGTTTAAAATAATGATAACAGGTTGTTATTTAATAAATAAAAATGTTTACAATTCAAAAAATAAAACTATATAAAATTCGATAAAAATTAATCACTCTAACCTAACAATACATTAACAATTGATAACAGTACAACATGATAATATATTGATAATTAACTCAACCGTACTTAATAAGAAAAAACTCAATCACAACTTAAGTAAAATATATTTAGAGTGAATGCGTAGGGACGAACGAAAAAATTTATATTAGGTACAAATCTCTAAAATTTTAGTAGGGGTTGGTCTTATAAAATTTTAGGGGAATGAAAATAGATTTTTAATAGAAAATACATAAAAAATCTAAAATATATTATAATTTAAATTTTCAAGGAGGAGACTACCCATGTTCGTCCCTGGGTCCGTCCTTGAATGAGAGTACATATTAATATTAAAAATATAAATAGACTAATAAAATAATTAAATAATTTTAAATTAAATTATTAATGGAAAAATAATCCTGAAAAAAACATAAATATATATATATATATAATATAAGAGAACAAAAATATTAGTGAAACACTAGACAAGAGACTCATGGTTTAATCTTCTTTTAATAAATGGTTGGCTCAGCCCAAGGTGTGATTGCTGATTGTTTTGGAAACATTGTCCCACATTTTCATGTACCATTCGAAGGCCACTAAAGGCTCGTGGTAATTTCATCTTCTTCTTCTTTTTTTTGGGAATAATTTACGGGATTAAAATTTTTTTGCTTCTAATGAATTTGAACCTATAATTAAAAATGATATGAAGTGTCAACTGAAAATTTTTAAACATTTATTCTAAAAATTATTAACTCATCTTTTTTTTTTATAGTATAAACAAGAATTACAAAATGACCGACGAGACCATTAATTGGTTCAAAGTTTCAACAAGTTGATCCAATTGAATAACGAAATTGGTGACAAAGTTAAGGTTTAAACAACTTTGAAATGTTTTATTTAATTTTATCATATATAAATATTATAATATAAAATTTTATTTTAATTTAAATCTTATCTTACATATGTCCAAATATAATTTAATTATGTCTAATTTTGTTTATAATGATGAACTTTTATTATCTTTACAATTATTTAGATTCATATTCGAGAAGAGTTTCAAGCGATATTGGATCATCTATTCAATTGGGTGGCCTTTCTTCATCCTCATAAGATTTTATTTTGTGGTGGGCATATTTTAAGTTCGCCTATTGTTTGTTCTTTCTAAAAAGTAAAAATAAAATAAAAATATCATTTAATCTATTAATAAAAAATATTTAAATTATATTATATCTAACTAAATTAAAAAATGTGAATAAATTGATATTATTTATACAAAAAAATGTCAAATAATAGTTCATAAAAGATGTCCAACCAAGCTTTGGATTCTTGAATTGCCCATAGTTTTCTTGTGATAAAAGGGAAATCCTTTAGGCCTTCAAATTCCTTTTGTGCAAATAAGGAAAAGCCCAATGGCCAGGTCATGATGCACCACCAAATGCCTATATCTGCATCACTGTGAACGTGTTCTTCATTCATAGCGTACGTATCCCTAATTAATTCAGCAAATTTGGCATTTTTTTTCTCCAATTCCTCACAGAGTTTGAGTTCCACTAGGGAATCCAACAAAACTCCATTAATTCTTCTGCTACCAACTAATTTTTTGGCATTTTTTTAGGGGTAACTCAGCCTCCACACTTACCACACCTAGCTTATCTCTTTCACAAGTACTTCAAACTGAACAAAACAACAACAAAAAACCCAGCAAAACAGGTTAAAAATGGCTGCCGAGGTACCTCAAATGGTCTCCAATGACATGGAATCTGGAAAAGCAGCTGTTCTTAACAAGTATACACTTTTCTGTGCTCTCTTGGCCTCCACGAACTCGATTCTCCTAGGCTATGGTGAGTCCTCAACTTTTCGATTTCTTTCATCTGTTTTTTTAGCCTGAAATTGTTAAGAATCAAAGTAGATTTGCTCGGTTTGTGCATGTAATTTGTGCCAGATATTGGTGTAATGAGTGGGGCGGTGCTGTTTATCAAAGAGGATCTCAAAATCACTTCGGTTCAAGTAGAGATCTTGGTGGGTAGCTTGAATGTACTTTCGCTTGTAGGCTCACTCGCGTCCGGAAAAACATCGGATTACATAGGCAGACGTTACACGATCGTTCTTGCGGCGGCCACGTTTCTAGTCGGTGCACTTTTGATGGGGTTCGCACCGTCTTTCCCATGGCTACTCGCCGGCCGAATAGTGGCCGGCATTGGCGTCGGCTATTCCCTTATGATTTCACCTCTGTACACCGCCGAGATCTCTCCCGCTATGAAACGTGGATTCCTTACTTCCCTCCCCGAAGTATTCATCGTCTCCGGTATCCTCATCGGTTACATTGTGAATTATTCCTTATCGGGTTTACACCAAAACATCAACTGGAGATTGATGCTAGGGCTGGCGGCGGTTCCCGCGGTAGCCATCGGAATTGGTGTCACGGCAATGCCGGAATCACCTCGTTGGCTTGTGATGAAAGGTAGGACGGATGAAGCGAAAAGGGTGTTGATCAAAGTCTCGGATAGTGTTCAAGAAGCCGAGTTTAGACTCCGAGAGATAACCAAAGCAGCAACTTCCATGGATTCAATCAACGGCGATTGGCATGGCCAAGGGGTGTGGAAAGAGCTTCTGTTAAACCCATCGAGGCCCGTTCGTCGAATTCTGATTGCAGCCATTGGAATCAACTTCTTCATGCAAGCATCGGGCAACGATGCAGTTATATACTACTGTCCCGAAGTGTTCAAAGCCGCCGGAATCCATCACAAGAGACAACTCTTCGGCGTCAACGTGATAATGGGAGTAGCAAAGGCTTCATTCGTGTTGATCTCGGCTCTTTATCTGGACAGATTCGGTAGACGGCCATTGTTGTTGCTCGGCACCATGGGGATGGCCGTATCGTTGGCCGTGTTGGGTATCGGATCCAAATTCCTCCAACACTCGGAAACCAAACCGATGTGGGCAATCATCGTGTGCGTCGTTGCCGTTTGTGCGGATGTTTCATTCTTCTCGATGGGACTTGGTCCGATCACATGGGTTTATTCGTCGGAGATATTTCCATTGAGGCTTCGGGCACAGGGAACGGGACTGGCTATATCGGTGAACAGGTTGGTGAGTGGGGTGATGTCCATGACGTTTCTTACCATATCGGAGAAGATAACATTCGGGGGAATTTTTTTTGTGTTGTCTGGGATTATGGTGCTCGCTACTCTGTTCTTTTATTTCTTTCTTCCCGAGACCAAACACAAGACCTTGGAAGAGGTTTGGGCATTGTTTGAGGATAAAGGTCAAAGTGGAGGTGATCAAAGGGAAATGCAAATGAGAGATATATAATGTTACGGGTGATAATACTTATGAATCTAGATCAACGGAATGAAAACTTCCAGATAATTCACGATGTCTTTTATCTTAATTATTCGATTCAACTATTATCAATTAAATCATCAATTGTTAAATTTTAAATAAAATAATGACATCACAGTTAAATAAATTTATATAATCATTATTTTTAATCTTTAGTATTTAGATATTTTATTAGTTTAATAATATTTTAAATTTAAATCATAACTTGGTACGGGATTATGCTAGAAACACGGGCTCTGTTCTACGGTGGATGGTGAGTTGTGGAGGGCCTAAAAGTTGGGCTTGGGCTGGGAACGTGATTCAGGTTGAGCTAGACGGTGGCTTGAGCCATTAATCTCATCTGGGGCATTAGTTGTTCAAATATGGAATTTTCATTATTTATATATACCAAGGCCCACTCCACTGCTCTTCATACATTTAAAATATGGTCTTCCTACTCTAATTTCAAAGAATTTTAAATTCTCGACTTTTCCAATTTAAAATTTCAATTCTAATTTTTAACATTATTAAAATTTCTATTATATTTTTAATGCGATAATTTAAAATTAAAAAAAAATACTAACTTGACAATTATGTAACAAAAACAAATGATGGTGGGACTTAAATTTAAGAGAAGAAATATAATAGTGTAAGCAATTCTACTTGAATTTTCAAATTAAAAATATAGGGCTAAATTCCTAGAAATAAAAGTAGGAAGACCAAATTCCAAATATACAAAGAATGCAAGGACATAAAGCATATTTTAACCTAAATATTATTATAAATAATATTTTACCTTGTTATACTTTTATATAATTTTAAATAAAAACAAATGTGTGTGAGAATAAACTTATCTCGTTAGTTGTTGACAATTCACTTCTTCTAGTTTAGACGAAGAGTTGCAATCAATAGAGATTCAATCATAAGCCTATATTGATCTATGTGAGGAGAGAAATGAAAGTAGGGGGATAGGTAATGCATGTGAGGGAGCAAGAAGAAAGAGAGTTCTCATTTCAATTTTTTTGGTGAAAATATTTTCGGCTATACGACGATAGATGTGAAGTCTAGGGTTATCATGTCTATTGATAGGCAAGAAGACTGGATAGATATACATGCCAAATATTAGATTTGGTTCTGTCATAGATTACTTCAAAATAGAGGAGTATGAATTTTGAAGAGTGATCCCGACAAAAGATAGTTATGGAGATGGTGTGGTGCCTTTGAAAAACTTTTGGAGAATATTAAGAGGACAAAATTTTCTCGAAATCTTTATTCACAAGGATTTGACAGTTTTCATAATGTCTTATCCGAAAGTATAACAACTAATAAATTAACGTATGATATAAACTAGAATTTAGCTTCAAGATAAATCATTTACTGTACTACAAGCTCGAATAATACAACTACATATTTTATCAATCAAATTCAAATCATAAATTAAGAAAGCAACAACGATATAGTGCCCCTTTTATTTTTGTTTTTAAGCTGTAAACATCATATAGTAGGGGGGGAAAAGGAAGTAGTACGCAACTTTTTCAAAAATTATTTTTGATTTTGTTTGCATATGATTGAAATGAAACAAGAGAAGGAGACGTTGGAGTTGATATAATAGTTTTGTCCATAGCTATGTTCTGCCACATTTTCAACATTTTAATAACGGAAAGTGTAATTGAAACTTCATTGTTTTGGTATATGTAATTGTCATTGAGTAAATACAAATCTCTTTTGAAGCATCGAGTAATACATACCCAATGAAATTCGTTGTGGTCCAAATTAAACGTTAAGGGTGGGATAGGATGAAGATAAAGAAAAGTGAGAAGATGGAACTGTACAAAATAGAGATAGGAAGGTTGGGTGAGAAATTCGGAATTTTAAAACAAGATAAGGAAACGTGATAGAAATAAATTTTAGATGTGTTATCGTCTAATTTATTAGCGGCGCATAAGATCATATGCCATCAATACAAAAAGTATTAATCTATTTACTATACTCACAATTCTTTTTGCACCAAATGTACACATAATGTGTTTGTTTGTTTGTTTTGAATAAACAATGTGACGTCATTTTATTTAATAATAGAGCATGAAATTATGAGTTATCATTTCGTGTATTAAATATGAAAAAAAAATACTCTACAAGTATGATTATTTATATGTCACTTGACTTAATTATCAACTTATCTCAGTGGTCAAATGAATTGTTGTTGTTTTTAGAAGTCACGGGTTCGAGCACCGCGACTGCAAGGGTGGTTGAGCATTCATTGTCAAATGACTGAGAGTACTTAGAACATATAATACTTTGTAATCACCTTTAGCTTAATAAAAAAATAATCATAAACTTTTTTTAGAATAAAGATTTATAATTATAATCGTAAATTAAACACATAATTAGGATAATTCCCTATAATCATTGAAACGAAACTAGCAACTTAAGATCACATAAGGACCATATATGGAAAGATTAAAATCTAACCAAGAAAACTCGAACAAAGATAGAAACAAAAGAGATATGATCGCATCAATAAATGAACCACAAAAGGAATCATGTTACTGAAAGATCATTGCATGACAAACTACAAATCAAACTCGAGTGACATGAAATGCTATTCACGAACACATAATGGGTATACAATTCCAATTCAAGGGTCAAAAGCAAGGAAGATCAACAATATAATAGATAAGCGACATCTTGACCAGTCGTGATGATGTCAAATCAACCCTTAGAAAAATATAAGTGAAAACAACAGTCAAATGATCGAAAAAGTGTCAAAAGACAAAAGAAAATGTGTCATACAAGCAGATGAAAATGTGTCATACAAGCAAACTTATTGAAAATAAAAAAACAAAAGAAAATAAAGATGTAATATAAGAAAATAAAAGGACAATGAAGAATATCGACGGTCGGTAACCAATATTAAAGTAAGTGTCATCGCCAATCAACAAAGATAAAGAAAAAGGATGAACGACTTACCAATGAGAGAAGTATGAGAGAAAACTAGGTTTCCTCTTAAACTAACGAGGAAAAAATAACTTTTAAAAAGCCAATAAAAAACACATTTGATGGATGAAGTATATAAAAAAATAAATAGTCATAAACTTAAAAAATACAAACTCTAAATCTTAAATATAAACACTTAGGGGTTGTTTGTTTGCCTCTTAATGGAATCATTCAGCGCTGAATGTTGAATCATTCAGCATTCAGCGTGTTTGTTTCGAACCTCTGAATGATTCAGTGCTGACTGATTCAGCAAAACAGTGCTGAATGATTCAGCACAGAAGTACATTCTGAATGATTCAGGGTCATTATCAAACAACATGTCACATTCAGAGCTAATTCATACAGAGCCTCTTAATCATTCAGCGCTTAATCATTCTGAAGTAAACAAACAGCCCCTTAGTTTTAGACCTTAAATAATAAAATTATAATCTCAACCTTTAAATAAATCATGTGAGAGTATAAAGAATCTTTTCATCTGAATCCCACTCATCCCATAGGTGGATCCCATACTCAAATTCCTACTTTCCCATGGAAAAGGCAAATGAAAACCCAAACTAAAGTCGGAATGGAAACACTAAAGACATGGAATCCGAAATGTTACAAAGGATTTTATTTTTTATAATTAGTAGATTCTTCTTTTTCATTTTTCCCTGCCAGCAAGAGGAGATTTGAGTAGGATCCTACATGAGATTCCAACAATATTGTAACAAAGGAACCCTCTTTTCTCTCCATTGTCTCTTTCAAACCACTTATATTTTGAGTGACTTTTAGATATGAGAAAGTAATAGGAATATGAGTTGATTTAATTGATTGAGATTATTAACGTTTTAATAAGTAATGAAACGTAATTCATAAAGTAATTTTAATGATAAAAGAAAAGATTATTATCTCTAGAAGTTTTGGATTTAAAAAAATTACATCTGCAATGCGTATTGTTAATATGATAGAATATTCATTTATATATTTGACTACTCAATCGAAATTAATGTTTCAACTAAAGAAATTTAAAGAATAATTCAATCATAAAATTTGCGTCCCTGACATTGTAACGACTGTTGAGGAAGAAGAAACTATGTATGTATATATGACGGTAAACTGACATAGGTAAACTGATTTTGACTTCTTTGGGCATTTGTTGATCTCATCTTAAATAATAGTTGTTGGAACTAACTTAGAATATGGAATCATTCAGTGTAGTAGATTTAATAGAAAGTTCAAATTATCGAGGCTAAATTATATTGATGGTCACTAAAATTTTAAGACGATTCTACTTTAGTCAGAAGATTAATATAGTTTAGGTTTAAACTAATCTAATAATTAGTAGCGACAGATCAAAAAGTTTTAACCATTGATTTTTTTTATTAAAATTTGAGGAGATTAAAAAATTCGAGATTAAAAAAATTCGATGAGTTTGAATCAAATGAAAGGAAAAGAAGAAGAAGTGTTTGGTGATCCTTTCTACCGTATAAACCATCTAGTTATGATAGAAACGACGGAAAAAGGAGCGGTGGCTGCCAAGTTTGTTTAGGGTTTTTAACATGTTATATCAGTTTTTCTTAACGACATCTAACGAAAGTTATCGTAATAAAAACTAATTAAAAGTTTAACGATTGAAATACAAGTTTTAAAAGTTTGGTGACTAAAATGAAAACACTCTAAAAATTGAGTGACCATTGGTATAGTTAACCCTAATATTAACGCTTGGTAGTTTGGTTGGCTACTTGGCCATACCTGTATCCTAGATGGGCAGGAATGAAAGATGCAAGATCACATGGCAGTATATAAAATTAAAAGAATGAAGATTTTGCCCAGAGGAGAGATGTATAATGATTGAAGAAGACAAGTTGCAAGTGGTGGTCCCTTTGAGAGTACATACATACATACGTGTATGTATATATATAGTACATTTGCTGATGGATGAAAAGAGACTCAAGAGAGAGATGGGGGAAACGACTGATAGACGTCCAACAGAAAATTCCTTCACCATCTAAGAATACTACTGATCAATCACCATACACTTACCT